GGCTGGGGAATCCTGGGAGTTGAAGTCCACCCATCTTCAAGCGGCCAAGGTTGAGAAACACTGGATTAGATTATCTGGGGCTGGTTTTGATTGCGGCTCTGAGCTATGGGGCACCCCAGCTGGGCTCACACATTGCTCTCCACCCACCTTCCCCAAGCTGGTGCCCTCAGGGCGTTGGATGAGCAATTCCCAGAATGAACACCGTAGCCATAGACTTCTGGGGTTTGGAGACCCAGCACGCCTGAGCGGTGCCGGAAGAAGGAAAGGGGGTCGTCGTGACTCTTGCTTAGGGTGTGATGCCCCCCCAGCCCATTGTGGCTTATTCAGCAGACCACGGGTTCAACAAAGGGTTAGGGTTAGTGGAATGTGCCGACGGGATTAGTTAGCCAAATATTGATATTATGAATTGCTCATCGCAGCATCGAGCTCGATACGTCGATGCCGGTCTTGTGACCAACATCAATTTGTTGGAAATGTGATTGGGGTAGGGGAAACTTACTCCCCTAATACAAACAGCTTCAATTAATATTCATTTTTGGTTTGCTCTTTTCACAATGGGCCAAAGATCCTTGGGGTTTCAAGGGGGGTCCATATGCATTTGAATGGTATTATCCCCCAGCTTTGGAAGGCTTCATTATGTGAGGTTTTATTGGACATGGGGGAATAGCAAAGAAGATAATTATTTAATGATGGACAAATGGAGTTACTCTGAGTTTGCTCCCTTGACACTCCATTTCTCCAGCGGCCCTCTATCAATGCAACTCAACGCAAAGAATATTATTTTGCATGGTCACGTGTAAGGAGTGATTTAATACGTAAGCCGGCATGCTGTCTTGCAATACATTTTCCATGGTTTTTCCCCTGTTCTTTTCCTTTCTCGTACATAAAATGTACATTTTGAATAAAAATAGATACAGGACATCTAGATTCCTGGGGACGTGGGGGAAAGACGGAGTTTAATGCACTATCAGAATGCAGTTATTCGGTTTTTCACTGATCTGCCTTAAGTGCGTGGTGCAAATCCAAGTTCCAAAATGAACCTTTTTTTTTTTACTGACCCAAACAAGTAAATAAAAATAGTGTTGGGAGGGGGGGAGGCAAAGGTTAGGGAAGCAGCAAGGAAGTCAAAAAACCAAGTTGTATGTTTCGATCCTGAGATCTCCTTACATAATGGATTCCCGGGTCGGTGATAACTGTTATCAGGTTTACAATGAGTAATCAGGGCCAAGAAAATAATTTCCCACCCCCATGCCCTGGAAACAGACCAGCATTTAATTCCCAATCTGTTTCTTACCACTGGCCACAGACCAAACCTCCTGCCCTAAAAAAAAAGCAGATTTAAAAAAAAAAAAAAAGATTTATGGTGCTATCAGGAAAGCTGGCAAGTCTTAGTGGAGAATTCAACTTTTTGAAAAAGTCAATGAAGCTCAATTGTGGAGTATCCTCCTGGCAGAAAATACAACTTCTCTGACCCCTTGGGAAGGAAAGTGTAGTGATCATGAATCTCTGTCAGTTGCTATTTCCCAATTCCTCAATTTAGCAGCTCGATGGGCCCGGTCCACCCCAGCTAACCTGAGGACCAGCCTTTAAAAGTAACTACAGAGCAGGGAAGGCAAAGAAGGAATGGGTAGGCACTTAAAAAATCTGCTATAAATAATATCTCCATGTCGAAAAGCATTTCACGTACGTTAATGGTTATCCTTACGAGAACCCGGAGAGATATAAAGTCTCTAAAATGAGCTCAACTCTTGGTGATTAGAGTTGTTTTGACAGGGGTGCAGAAGTCGGTTGGCCGTTGCCTTCTTGGAGAATATCTTTTTCAACTTCCCAGGCTAGCCAATGAGCCTCGGATCCCCTGGTGGTCTCCCATCCCATACTGACCCTGATTAGCTTTCCAGCATGCAAGGTCTGCTAGCTTTTCCTGAAGCTCCCCAGAAGGGAAGATGACATGGTGGCCCCCCGACAGAGGAACAAGGTTCTGGGTTCACCCTTTGCCCTTTTTACCTGGTGGAGATTTTTCACAAGGGAAAAACTTCTTAAGGACTAGCGACACCAGACGTCAAGCTGCAGAAATGGCCCATCAGCCACCCAGACAGTTCAGCTAGGGGACTGTTAGCAAAATAGTGAGGCCCCGTAGCCTGGAGGGAGGGGGGCAAATGACTTGGACTTCCAATGTTGGAAGTTGGCGTTACTCTCTGAGTAGGGTATGTCCCACGCCAACTGCTGAGTGCAACCACTTTTCTTCTCCTTTTGAGTGGAGATCTATATTTTTCACTTTTCAGATCTGTTCTTCTTTTCTGCAAGAAACAAGCCAGGTGCTGGTGTTCTCACGCCTTTGTCTGGGGACCAAACACGTTTCTCGTCGCCACAAAAATGCCAGGCTAAAATGCCAAACGTCTCACACGTAGAGTTCTCTTTTTTAGATAGGTAAAAAGGGTGTAGGTAAAGCCGTTTTTGCTCGCCTGCACCTGCCAGTCAGGAGCACAGAAGTATTGGAAAAGCCCATTTTCTCACCCTGAGCACTTGAAAGGGACATAGAACCAATAATATCCAAACCTTATATTTATCTAGCGGACGCGCTCCATCAAGATGTCACTTTATAAAAAGGAATGAGACGTGAAAAGGACACGCCCTCATCCAGCTTTCTCTTCCTCTAGAGCCTGAATTATATTCTGTGTGCATCGATGGACTATGCAAAGAAATCTTTGGGTCTCCTCTCCCCCAGCTCGCTTTCCAAGTAAGTACCAAGAGATCAGCAGTGATGAATTGTTAGGCTTGGTTTTGTGTAGTTTTTCTCCCCCCACCCCATCTTGAATTAATTCCATCTTGCCGCATCATGGGCTCCGGCATTTTTTTAATTCCGAAGAACTGCAAATTCACATCCAAATACAGTTGTGCCCTTCTCAGAAGACCTGTTAATTTGGCTCATACACGATCACCCGGCATTTCTGGGTGGGAAATGCACTGAAGCTCTACGAAGCATCAGAACAACAACTTGCAATTTTCCACCAAGCCAACCTTGAGGAACAGAACAGGGTTATTTCTTGAAAGAAAGATCACGAGTAAAGCCATAGGGACTGAGAAGTTTTGAAACCATCCTGGAAGATGTTTGGAAAGCGATGAACCCCATTCCTATCATAGCCACAAAAACTACATGGACATGTTCCTGAAGTTTCCAGGAGCCAAGCTTAAAAAATATATATATTTTATGATTTCAGTAAAGTGGGCTCACATATTGTACTGAGCCAATCAATTCTATTTATTAGAGTGTTAGAGTTATATCCCACTTTGCATACAGGCAGTATACTTAGCCTCTATCCTTCCTCCTAATTTTCCCCACAACAACCCTGTGAGGTAGGTTGGGCTAAGGGAGAAGGATGAACCAAAGTCACATGGTGGATTAGAATCTGGGTCTCCCCAGTCCTAGTAGGACATCTGAACCACTACACCAGTGTTGTCCAAACTTGGCCACTTTAAGATGAGTGGACTTCAACTCCCAGA